GTTGTCTCTGAAAAATACTTCGGATTCGTTGGCCAGACACTATCAGCACCAACGTACTGTGGGAGAGAACAAACCAGATTCCAGTGGAGGAGGAAATCAGGAAGAAGCAGTGGAAGTGGATAGGATACACGCTGCACAAAGCACGGAACTGCGTCATAAGACAAGCCCTCAGTTTGAACATTCAAGGCAAAAGGAAAAGAGGAAGGCCAAGGAACAACATACACCGAGAAATAGAGAAAGACATGAGAAGAATGCACAAAAATTGGACAGAATTGGAGAGGGAAGACCAGGACAGAGTAGTTTTAAGAAAACTGGTCGTCGGCCTATGCTCCATTCTGGGGTAACAGGCGTAAGTAACTAATTAAGTTAGAATATGAAATAACAGGTTTCGCATAAGTAGTTTTTCTACAACATTCTCCAGCCAACTCTGTCCCGAACGTTACTTTCCAATTCTTCCAAATTACTTTTCATTTTTTTTCTAATTTCTGTCCCTAACTCTTGGCTTTATGTGTTCTTTTATTCATCATTTTCTCCTCGGAGCTTGAGGATTCCAAGTGAGGGTTTGTCTTGTGCGGTCGTTGGGTGATTGCCACAATATGTGTCCTATCCACTTCTAGCGCTTCTTCCTGATTTTCTTTTGCTGGAATCTGGTTTGTTCTCTCCCACAGTACGTTGTTGTTGCTGATGTCTAGTCAATGAATTCTCATTATCTTGCGTAGATAACTGTTAATAAACCATTGCATCATATGCATGATAACTTTCATGGTTCGCTCCATACGTTTATAATGAAAATAATGACTTTACCGTTAGTTTACAGACAGTTGATTTGTGTTCCAGATGTTGTTCAATTTAGAAAGGCTACTCTTAAGTTGCTAAAGGTTCCTACATTCTTATACCCTAGTTAAAATTAAAGTCTTCAACAAATTTATTCATGGTTCCATCCATGAAAACTACTTAAAATGTTGTATATCCAGTTTGTGGCTGAAACGATTGTTTTTTTCCTTAGTTTTATGTAAATAAGAATACGTTAACTCAGTTTTTTGTTTTTCAAATTTAAAATCAATGTAACACTGTTCAATGTTAAATGATTTAAACATTCATTCATAAATCCTGAATGATGATTGGTTCGTGATTTCAATGTGTGTAAGATGTTAGACAATCAAAATCGAAACCAGGAAGGAGTGAATAAAGTTTTCGTTTCGGCTTTGGTTTTTTTTTACCAGCGCACATTCTTGATCACACTTTAGACATTGATCTTGCATAAAAGAGTTGAATTTTCAGACTGTCAAAGTCAATCATTCAATGATCGTTCATGTCTAGTTTCAGTCAATTCACACTGTTTACATCATTACTGATACAAAACAGACTGAAACCGACACAAATACACACTCACACGCACGGATTATCACAAGAATTAAGTGTTCAAATGACAAGAATAGAAGATTGAAGAGTGTTCAGCTAGATCGATTCACAATATCATTGTAAAATGATGAGATGAATCCGTAAAGAAAGATGCGTGAGGACAAAATAGGAAACAACAATATTACCTATTTACTTACTTACTTACTTAATTACTTCTGTTACCTTCAATGGAGCATAGGTCACTGACAGCTATTCTCCAACCTACTACTCTGTTCAGGGTCTTGCCTTACAGTTCTGTCTAATTTTTGTTCATACTTTTTATATCTGCTTCCAACTCTCAACGTAATATGTTCTTTGATCTTCCACATCTCCTTTGGCTTTGAGAATTCAAGGTAGGGGCTTGCCTCGTGGAGAAGTTGGGTGGTTTCCGCAATCAGTATCCTATCCACTTACAGCACATCTTCTGGATTTCCTCCTCCGCTGGAATCTGGTTTGTTCTCTCCTACAGTAGGTTGTTGTAGCTAATGGTGTCTGGCTAACTGATCCCAAATATTTTATGTAGACAACTATTAGTAAACTCTTGTATCTTCCAGGTAGGGACTTTCATAGTTTGCCAAGCTTCCGCCCCATACAACCAACAGTATGCATATTTATACACGTTTTCCGAAAAGAAAAATAGTCACTGACAAACAATTTGACAATAGAAACCAATCAAACAGATAATGGTTAATGGTAACTGATGATATTGGGTGTTGAGAAATAAACAAACTTGTCAACAAACAATAAATAATTATTTTGAAATTGTTGTCATTTTATTTCAAATATCAACTGAACATTGAATACTATGATTTATCCGGGAAAATGTTCAATTTTAGTACACAAAAACCAACCTCAGTTTGATTAGTATTAAAAGCCATAGAAAACACTGGATTACTGCGTCGTTTTATCACATGACATCTCAAAAGTAAGAATGTTCACAATTCCATCAAGAAAAATACTGAAAACATGGTTTTCGGTCTCATGCAAGAATGTCAACTTTAAAAATTGCTTAGGGGGAATCCAACGGTAAAAAGATTAGGCTCTCGCGCACGAGACCGAAACTCATGTGTTCAATATATCAAGTGATAGGATCATGGCTGTTCACTTTTGAGGAGTCCTTCACCAGGATGAAACGTCTGTCCAGTGTTTTGTGGTTTTCAATGAATGTTGAACTACTATTTCTACAAATTCGCAGATAATTTCACGTTCTGACTATTACTGTTAAACAGCTCTGTTATTTAAAAGCCATAATAAGAAAAAAAACCTAAGTTGAAAAGAACTATTCATTGTTAGACAACCACCATTGAAAACCTGGAAGCACTGGACAGCCGCTTCGTCCTGGCATGGGACTCATCAGTGGTAGTGCGCATCCATGACTCCTGCATATCGCAGTATTCGAACTCGAGACCTTAGGTCTTGTACGCAAACACCTAACATCTGAATTAGCTTCGTAAAGAAATCCTCGCAGTTTTAATGAGATGTGACCAATGGAGTTCAACCCTGTCAAGTGTAGATAGTAACTACCAAAGAAAATGGGTGAGGTAACGCAAAATCCCTTGATTGATCTGAGTCAGACATTAACACCGTTGGATACCAGCCCAGTGGTTCGAATCTTGCGGGTTGTAGGAGTCATGGATACGTATTGCCAGTGATGAGTCCCACACCAGGACGAAATGGCCGTCTTTCAGTGCTTCCAGGTTTCCCCAATTCTGGTCTAACAATGATTGATTGATGATTTCAAATTTACATTCACTGAAAATTTAATAATCTAACGGTATACATATATATATATATATACATATTACTAATATATACTAGTTAAGTAATATATCCCCATTAAAACAACATTTTCAACATAAATATATCCATAATATATTTCTTTATTCATAAATATTTATATTTTTTTTAAAAAAAAACTCATTTCACACGAGTTATTTTTTCTTCGCATAAAAAATAAAACGAAATATAATTCATTATTTATTGAAAATTGAAACTTTAGTTGTCTTTCTCACAAATTTTGTTTTAATAAATAGATAAACAACTAAATGATAAACGTTCATTTAATGTTTGATTTTCTTTCATCTTTTTTTTAAAAAATATTTCATAAAAATTTTCTGATTGGTTTTAATATGTTTGTAGCATCATCAATCTTTCATTCTGATAAAAGTGAGTGCTTATCTTTTGTGTGTCTGTGAAAGTAAATGTATTGATTTTTTCGTCAGGCGGAGTTAATTATGTGAAGATGGAAATGAAATTGTATGATTCATAGATGATTGATGCAGAAAAACTGAGAAAGATATCGGTTTACTTCAGTTAAAATCTGAAAATAGATGAACAGAATTCTTACGATGATCTAAAGTGTATTTTGCGAGAGGCTTATGTGAAAAAAATCATCAGTTTTATTAATATCTCATCAAAGTTACTGTTGGGGACATTAGATCCCCATAACTCACTTGATAAATGCCTTAATTTTGGATTTTATTCATGGGCGGCTGATCAGTAGACTTTGAGATCACATTTTACACCAGGAAAAGCTTTGGCTGTGATTGGCTGATGTGTTATTTTAGTACGCTATTTTTGTGACTCTCCCAAGGACGTTTCTATGATGTATAAATGAACGCGATTTGTATGCTTGAGATCATTGTGTGCTGGCTGGGTGTTTGTAGAATACACTTTCTATGCTATATCAAGACTTCTTGATATAGTTAGCCAGGCCTAGGACAACGGATCAGAGTAACCTATCGTGGCACTGGTTTATCGAACTCGTAATAGTTTCAAGCATATCAAGTGACGAGCATAACAGTTACTTGTTTTGATCAAATATATTGCTTACTTACTTACTTACTTACTTAGGACTGTTGCTTTGACTGGAGCATAGACCAACGGTCAACATGCTCCAACCTACTCTACACTGGGCCTTGTTTTCTAGTTCTACCCAATCGGTTCTCATTCGTTTAACGTATGCTTCCAGTTCTCAACATCAGTTGTTCTTCCGCCTGCCTGTTTTCCTTTGGCGATGAGGAATCCAAGTTAGGGGTTATCTTGTGATGCAGTTTGGTCATTTCCTCAATGTGCGTCCTATCCAGCTCCAGTACTTCTTCTTGATTTGTTTTTCCACCAGAATCGTGTTTGTTTGCTCTCACAGTAGTTTGTTAATGATAGTTTCTGGCCAACGGATCCGAAGTATTTTTCAGAGACAACTGTTCATAAATACTTGTATCTTCTGGATAATGACTTTCGTAGTTCTCCAAGTTTCCTCTCCATACAGTAGAACTGTCTTGACATTTGTATTGAAAATTCTGACTTTAATGCTTGCTGATAGTTATTTTGAGTTCCAAATGTTTTTCATTTGTAGAAATACTGTCCTTGCTTTGTCGATCTACGCCTTTACATCTGCATCAGATCCACCCCGCTCATCAATGGTACTTCCCAGATATGTAAAGGTTTTTAACATCCGCCAGAGCTTCTCCATCATTAGTGATTTGGTTGGTGCATGTTGTGGTGTATCTAAGAATCTTACTTTTGTGTTTGTGTACGTTGAGACCTACTGCTGTTGAGGCTGCATTTATACTGGATTTTTCTTCAGCATCTGTTATTGCATGTACGATATCACTACTACTAATACTACTACTACTACTACTACTACTCACACTACTACTATTACTACTACTACTACTACTACTACTACTACTACTCACACTACTACTATTACTACTACTCACACTGCTACTACTACTACTACTACTACTACTACTACTACTACTCACACTACTACTATTACTACTACTCACACTGCTACTACTACTACTACTACTAGTATTACTACTACTACTACTACTACTACTCACACTGCTACTACTACTACTACTCACACTACTACTATTACTACTACTACTACTACTACTATTACTACTACTACTACTACTACTACTACTCCCACTACTACTACTACTACTACTACTACTACTCCCACTACTACTACTACTACTACTACTACTACTACTCCCACTACTACTACTACTCACACTACTACTACTACTACTACTACTACTACTACTCACACTACTACTACTACTTTTTAGTATGATAAACTACAACTTTCCATACTCTCACAAACAGTAATGAGCTAAACCAGAATACCTATGTTACACACAAAAAAACAACCAATCACTCATCAGTAAAAAACAAGCCTATTTCAATTAAACAAATATACAATTCCGACAGTTGTCTAATCGTTACAATTTCACCACAACAACAATGCTTACTTATTCACACTGGTGATCTGCTTTTCTAAACTTCTCTCATAAGACACACATCTACAGTCTAATTTTTTACATGCAGTCATCCAATTCCCATTTTCATATTTCGTCTGTTTATCCTGCTGTGCGTTTACAAAAAGAAAGGCGATATGAAACGAGTATTATGTATGAATGAAAACAAAATATTGTCAATCTGTCAGTGCATATTTGATTGTTTCGTTAACTAATGATGATTATTGTTAACAACATGTTGATTGAATTCATATATATATATATATATATATATATATATATATATAAGTTTTTTTGAAACCATGAATCGATCATTGTTAGACCACCACTAGAAACCTGGAAGAACTGGACGGCCGTTTCATCCTGGTATGGGACTCCTCAGCAGTGCGCATCCACGACTCCTGCACCCTCAGGATTCGAACCAAGGACCATCGGTATTGTGCGCGAACGCCCAACCACTGGACCACTAAGCCAGTATCTAATGGTATTAATATCGAACTTCGATCAATTCACGGAGTTGTAACTTAACAATCTTCACAACCTCGTAAGGCAGTTACATATGCTCACTTGTGACTAGCTTCGTGGGGAATCTTCTCCGAGTTCTAGCTAGAAGTCGTGACCAGTGAAGTTCAACCTGTACGGTTGTAGACAATAACTACCAAAGACACCTGCACACCACAGGACTCGAACCCAGGACCTGCATTCTTGTGCGCGAACGCCTAAACTCCGAACCACTGAGCCGGCATCTAACGGTGTTAATGTCTAACTTCGGTCAACTCAGAGGAGTTGCCCAACCTCATACACAGTCTTCGGTAGCAGTTACTGTCTACACCCAAACAGGTTGAACTTCACTAATCACGACATCTCACTAGAACTCAGAGAAACATTCTCACAAAGCTGGTCACTAGTGAGCACATGGAATCGCATTATGGCGTTTTGAAGATTGTTAAGTTACAACTCCGTGAACTGATCAAGCTAGAGATTAACACCGTTAGATGGCGGATAAGTGGTCAAGGGGTTAGGCGATCGCGCACAAGGACGCAGGTCCTTGGTTCGAATCCTGCGGGGGGGGTGGAGTCGTGGATGCGCACTGTTCATGAGTCCCATACCAGGACGAGACGGCCGTCTAGTGCTTCTTTTGTTCTCATGGTGGACTAATATTGATCGATTTATGGTTTCACAATGTGTAACTTAACAATCTTCACAACCCTGTAATATATATTTACATATACTCTATTCCAGTCGAAAGACTATCAACGCGTCTATAAACCAATCATGCTCAGGTCCCGAGAGTTATCCTGAATCTTTTGCCGAAAAGACAAAGATAAGACTGATCAGATGGAATAAGTGTATCTGCTGGAGATTTCATGATATCGAAAGAATACCAAAATATGCCAGTGGGTTGGCGAAGGTACAGAGCAGCAAAAGCAAGATGGGGATCATGCTCCGAAAGTACGAATAAACAAAATGTTCGGTAAAACGTTCACTGATAGAAAGTAGAGAGCTCTAGAAATCTGGTTCACTCTAGTTCAGGACTCTTCAACTAAATGATATTCTATCCCTTCTGGATAGATCAGATTCGTTCGACAGATAATATTTGGTTGATTTATATAACACAGAGTGTTTCCTATTCTGGAAGAGTGCTCCAGTTTACAATCAAAATGCACAATTCCAGTCAAGGCAAGCAACTCAATCAAAAGAGAAACAAGTCAATCTGGCTGTCGCCATGACTAAGTATCAGTTTAAACAACACGAATGTAATTCAGAAAGAAACATAGAATCTCCAATGAAGGCAAAAGAAATAGAAACTATAATAAAATGGCAAATACTACCATCTCAAAATGCAATCGAACAGACTACACAAAATGTACAACTGAAGGGATCAATAAGACAGGATTACATATGTGTATACATGGAGGGATTTTCACAAACAAAGCCTTTAAAAATGGACCTTACATCCATTCCAAGTAGTGAGTGACATATATGGAGTGTGATTAAATTGCTTCAAGACTGATGGTCAGAATGATAATTTTTAAATAATTAAATAGTAATCACTTTCACTTACAATCATTTCTCTCAGTAAGGCGAGAATGCAGTTAAAAATTATCTGTGACAGCTCAGTTTTTCTCTGTATATGTTTGGATACTGTCATTAAGCAGTATGCATTAGGAGGACTGTGCATACATCATACATCAGCAGTGCGGGAATCGATCTAAGGACCTTCAGCGCGCGAACTCATTACACTTTTGGAATTTTTTTAATTCATTGAGCTCTAGGATTTAGTGAAAGTGCTTTCATTACAGTTCTTAAAAGTTTCATCAAAACTTACTTCATGAAGAATTAATTGCTTTTAAAATTTTTTTTCCACAAGCACTAATGAATTGGTTTGGTCCAATTAGTTTTGTAATGAAACATGGACACTTAACTAACCTATTGGCCACTGAGCCACTGAATCTGATGGTATTAATATATGATTTCGATCAATCCAGGGGTCTTTTGAAACCTTATTCATTTTCTTCAGTGAGCTCTGTTTCACATCCCAACAGGATTTCATTCAGCTGATCTACACATTGACCGATTTATGATTCTTCTAAAGTAATTCAACATTCTCCACAATCCTATAATGTAAATTATCATGAGCTCACTGGTGACTAGCTCCATGAGGAATCTTCTCCGAATTCTGGTGAGAAGTCATTACCATTGAAGTTCAAACCTATTCATATGTGAAATAGTGCTCACTGAAGACAGTTGGATGCCGCTTCACTGGTGCAGAGGTCAAGTGTTCGCACTCAAGACCGAGACCCCCCCGGGCTCGAATCCTTCGAACAGCAGAAGTCGTGGATGCCCTTCTTCAGCAGGACAAAATGGCCGTCTTAACAATGTGTCCAGATTGCTTATAATCATGGTCTCACATTGATCTTAGCAAACAATACTCTTTTATTTACTTCTACAGGATTGAAATTAGTAATTAAACGAGTGAGACAAACGAGTGAGAAGGACACACAACAGTTTATTTTGTTATTGTAAATTCATTTATTGTCATCATTGTGTCTGTATTAATGATAATAATAACAATAATAGTAATAATAATAATAATATTAATAGTAATAATAATAGTAATCGCCACATGTAAAGGATGATTTCAAAGTGTCTTATACTAAAAAATACTGTTCAATTGATTTGAATTGAATTACACAAAGTACAATGGTGAGATAAAAGAAAGTATATTATACAATGTACGTCAGAGTTCATTCTTTAAATTATACTGACTACTTTTTAATAAGTTTGTATTTAGAAAAAATCACACTCCATCTACAAATTATATGTATAGATATATACTGGAGAGAACACTACAGGTAGACAGATAGATAGGTAGATAGATAGATAGATAGATGTGTGGATAGATAGATAGATAGATAGATAGATAGATAGATAGATAGATAGATAGATAGATAGATAGATAGATAGATAGATAGATAGATAGATGTGTGGATAGATAGATAGATAGATAGATGTGTGGATAGATAGATAGATAGATAGATGTGTGGATAGATAGATAGATAGATAGATAGATAGATAGATAGATAGATAGATAGATAGATAGATGTGCGGATAGATAGATAGATAGATAGATAGATAGATGTGTGGATAGATAGATTAGACTAAAATTATGTACTCATTACAGTTAGGAAAAAACCACAAAAATTTCTCATCTACAATTAACATGTTGCGTAATAAAACAGTATGTACGTGTGTGTGTGAGAGAGAGAGCGATTCACGTATCATGTCAATATACAACTATTTTTTCAAATGAACGCAAGGAAAATAAAAAAAAACATTTCTACTTAGTTTTTTGTTCAATTTTTTAAAAAAGACATTTAGCATTCAACATAATCTCTGTGTTCATCAGTAATGGCGGTGGTTTATTATTATTATTATGCTTTAACATGGAATAATTTGATTGGTCCATAGATTGTCGCAGTGAAGCTAGTTGATCATCCTGAATAAATACAGTGGACGATGTTGCTGATGATGACGACGGCGGTAAGTAATTCGACTGTTGATAATCCACTGAAGTATTGTTGATTGGTATGGACGATGAACTAGATGATGATGATGATGATGAAGATGAGGATGATGACGATGAGGTGGAGGCGGAAGCGGACGATACACAGGAAGCCGATGGATCCATTAATGTAGGTAAATAGGCGGAGACAGATAGATTCGTCGGATTATGGTGATATTTCATAGAATGATGATCCGAAGAAATATTGGAACACGTTGGCTGGGTAGGATAAACTGATTTTGATTGTGACTGTAATTTACAGTGTATATTAGATTCATTATTATTACTAGCACTAGTACTACTACTACTACTACTACTACTACTACTATTAACAGTAGTATCAGTAGTAGTGATAGTACTTGAAGTATTATTATTATTATTAGCAAGTAGATAATCAGTTTTATTTAAAAAATATTCATGATTTTGATGCAATGAATGACAAATTCCATTTTGATTGTTATCATTATGAAAATGTAGATTTGATAAATTATTGGTATAATGTGGAAATGTTTGTTGGTAAACAATGGAATCATATTGAAACAATGAATTTTCTACAGTTTCTAAATGTCTACCATTTGAAAAGAGATTGATATTATTGTTAGGATGTTTAGTTGGTTCACAACATCTGAAAGAATCTTGTATTGTATGTTGTGGTAAGAATGATGGCATTGGTTGATGAAATGAATTTAAATACGTGTGTTGATAAGCATATTTATTCGATACAATCTCATCAGTATCTACTGGATCGTCATAATTTTCATGAATGTATTCACCATTATCATTTTGTTCAACATCATCATCATCATCATCATCAACATGATCACCATCTTGATCTTCAATGTCATCATCATCATCATCATCAGCATCGGCATCATCTTCATCTTTCATCGTTTGTTCATCGTCTAACATTGTTTCATCGTCATCGAGTAAATGATTTGAATCTTTAATAGTAGTAGTAGTAGGATGTAGCTTTTTTGTTGAACTGATAAATGATGTTCAATAGGTTTTTCATTATTATTTACATGATGATTGATCATTGAATTTGGTGTAGAATTTAAATGAGTTGAACTTTTTTGTTCTATACCATTATTATTACTATTACTATTACTACTATTACTATGAATACTTCCAATGGATTTTGATGGCCAACTCATTTTATTTTCTTTTTTTAATCGTCTTCTAGCATTTGCAAACCATGTAGAAACCTGAATAATTAATTAATTAAAAGTAAGAGAACATGTGAAGGAATAAGTAGGGATTGAACTTACATAAGAGTACAGTGGGGTTTGTGATAATTGTAGATTTATCAAAAAGACTAGTTGAGAAAGTATAATTAACATATTTGGTTATTTTTACAGTTACAACTGAGTAGATGTATGTTTTTACACACCAAAAATAAGATTCAATTTGGCAATAGATTATTTTGGCGCAGCCTATCGTGCATTATGTTAAAACTTGTTTAACGGCCATGGTACGTGGGGGCTTTGACCAGAGCGTTTTCATTCCTCTTCTGTATGGGTACATTCTCAATGACCAAGTACCCTGCTGTCTCCACCACCACAGCTCGCATATGACTATGCCTCAAGGTGGTTTATGCTGCCTGGCTCTCCCACTGAACCAAATCTCCTGAAGTGTCTATTCGATGCCCATGGGGAGTCATTCAGTTCTAATATCTAACAAGCTTTTGTCGTAACAGATCACATGTTTTATACCGTTGTGCCTTACACATGCCGTCCCGTCTGCACTCCTGATTTCATTGCACGTTTCATCCTTCAAGCCTCTTGCGACACAGGATGCTTACGATACTGCTTGCTTGCGGCCATTACCAACATCTCACTTGACTGACTATCTTTCTTATTCTCTTGTTAAAGCAGCGCTGATCCACCCCTGTCCGAGACGGTCAGTTTCATGAGCGCCCTGTATACGGGCCCGCCCACCTGAGCCACTTTGGCATGTTGCATTCTCGCTAACTGCACGGTTATGCTCCAACACCTTAACCAAAAATTGTTCTCGGTAACCTACTGGCTATCCCCTCAGCTACTTTTTGCATGGCCTCCAGGGGAGCCACATCACCAATGGAGTAGTGCCACTCACGCATTCGCTAACGCCACTAACTGGCGGTCTGCCTTCGTTCGTGTGTGTCCCCGCTTCAGAGCTTTTTCACGGTCTTTTCCCCTGCCGCGCTAATCTCTTCGATCCGGCGATTGCTTACACTTGGCCACCTGGGTGTCCTGGCTCTCCCACCTCTTCATGCCTTTCCCGACCCCATCCCATTTCTACAAGATCTTGGACTTATTTGTGCCCTGTGGTGTTAAGAATGGGGGGGAGAGGAATTTGCAGTTTGGGGTGTTTTTCTTGTGCGTTTCTCCGTTCTCTTAGTCGGCGTAAGAATCTCTCCATATCGGTTTCTTCTACATCTCACACAAGATCTTCCATTCGGTCCTCATTCATTTCGCTTACATCTCTGTTCCTTCATGTCCCGCCCGCTCTCCGGACTTGTGAGCACGGGGCGGTCCTACTTTGATATGTTAGTCGTGTAGTTAGGACATTCGTAGTTGCTTGTGCTGCAAAAAAAAAAAAAGGAACATAGATTGTCTTCGGAAGTCACTGGCTGGAATTGTTTTTTGTTATATCCTGGGACAACCGAGTAAGTAATACTAATGTTAGGAATCGAGTATCATGTAGGGATAGCAAATCAACTGATGAAGTATTGAAACTCCATCAGTTGAGGTGGTTGGGACATGTGTTACGAATGCCCAACCAACAGCTGCCTCGACGAGCTATGTTTTGTGGTGTAGGAGTAGGTTGGAAAAAAGCTAGGGGCGGCCAAACCAAAACATGGCACAAATCCATGAAGTCACTGACAAGTGGACTAAGTCATGTTGGTAGATGTAGGCTACCAGGTTGGGGTCCACGAGACGAAAATCGCCGGTAGTTAGAGTCCTTGAACGATATGACTCAGAATCGTTTGTAATGACGCAATTGCACCCACTCTTTGTGTTCTCTCTTCAATTCCAACATTCTGAATTCCTCATCATCTCTATCTTTCTCCTTCTAAATTTATTTCACTGTATTTATACTTCTCGAATCTTATCTTCTAATCCTAATCTTCTCGATTACTGCTAAAACTTCTACTATAGCTAATGTGGTATGGCAACCTGAACTGATATACGTACGTATGAAGTTCTGCATTGTATCTGTCTGTCTGTGTGTCTATCTGTACTTGCTATATACTATTGTTAGAGAAACAGTAAGCTTTTATTCAATATCCAATTGTATAAAACTTGTAAACGACAATCTTCTAAGATTTAAAATGAACAACCGGTGGTATGTTTTAATAAAATCATCAAACCTAATAGCGCTTATTTCATATAATTACTAAAAACGATAATGTCAAAGTAAATGGCATTAATTTCTTGTTGAAATGAAATATAACTCTATCTTAATTGCAATAAAACATTTTGAAATGCCTTCGACTATAATCTCTCATAGTTAATCAACTGAATGTGACTAGTATTCCATAAACATAGTATTGATCTGTGCAATCAGTGATCAATTCTATCAGAAGTTAGTGATCATTTTAAATAAGGATTAGTGATAATATCTCATGACTACAAAACTGGATGATAGACAGATATTATCAATCCCCGCAATATTAACAATATACCTTCTATTGTAGATAAGTTTCAATCATCCAAAGTATGACTCATCCATTAAGTGACCCATGATCTGACTCTTTTATCCAGAAACGTTCAAATAGGCTATCGAATAAATCTCCCCTCCAGCTTTCGTATATCATTACTAAGGTGAACCTTGTTTGTTCGACGGCGGTAATAAGAATCTAACTCAATGTTATGATGCATGACTAAGCATTTATACACAATGAAGTTATCAATCAATCAATCAATCAATTTTAGACCACCATTAGAAACCTGGAAGCACTGTTTAGACGACCGTTTCGTCCCACTGTGGGACTCGTCAGCAGTGCGCATCCACAACTCTCCTGCACCTCGCAGGATGCACACTGAGGATGAGTAGTCCCCACACCAGGACAAAACGGCCGTCTTTCAGTGCTTCCAGGTTTCTAATGGTTATCTACCAATGATTGACTGACCGACTAATGACTTCAATGAGTAAATAAAACACTAGTCTCTGTAACTATAATTGAAAAAAGAAATAAGCATTTATTAATCAGATAAAATGATAAGCTACCCATGTGATAAGTGAAGTAACCAGTGCACAAACACACACATACGCATATTCGACTAGAAGATCATCAGAGCGATGAATTATGGACCAATTTCAAATGACTTACTTGGGTTAATGTCATTTTAGTAATAATAGCAAGCATAATTTTTTCACCTTTTGTAGGATAAGGATTTTTCATATGTTCTTGTAACCAAACTTTTAATGTAGTTGTACTTTCACGTGTTGCATTTTTACGTCGTGTACCATCAAGACTATAAGTAAATCTAATAATTTTTTTATAAGAAAAAAGAAAGGAATAAGTAAGATAATAATCATGAAATTAAAAATTTTATTTTTATTTAAAATGTCAGTTGATTACATGAAAAAATGTAATGATGATGTAATTTTTTCTTCACATTGAACTCATGAATCAATCATTGTTAGGCCACCATTGGGAGCACTGAACAGTCGTTCGTTCCTAGTATAGGGACTCACTCATCAGAAGTACGTATGCATGACTCCTGCTACTCGCAGGAATCGAACTCATGAGCTTGTGATCTTGCTCGTGGATGCTCAATCTCTAAACCACTGATCTGGTTGGCATTTAACAGTGTTAATGTCTAACTCTGATCAATCTAAGGATTATACGAAACTTCACCCATTACTTCCGGTAGTTACTATCTACAATCGACAGAGTTGAACTCCACTGATCATGTCTTCTTACTAGAGATTGTGAAATGTGGGATGTGACTATTTACTCAACACAAATGGCTAGCAGGGAAAATCTAAACTTCGCTTTTGGTCCTGTTAATGATCTAGCCTTTGGCTCAATCTACTTACATCTAAGTGTAGATGTTTACTCCAAGAGTCAAATCGAGTAGCTTTCTATTTACAACGCTTGTGATTTTATGACTATTACTAGGTAATCGACACAGGATGCACATCTATCAAATGTAATTGACCAGTCGTTGTCGTAACGATCAATGGGGAGGTTTAAGCACCCCATATTGATAAGACTTTGTTAAATCAATGTACTTTTATTTTAGAGTTATGGAGATTGTTGCTTTCCATTAAAACCACGAATCAATCATTGTTAGATCACTATTAGACTGGCTTCGTGAGGAAGAAGCTGTGATCAGTGGAGTTCAACCCCCATGGTAATTGCCAAAAGCACTGGATGAAGTTACGCAAAACCTTGGGTCGATCAAAGTTACACAATAATACCATTGAATAACGTGTCACTAATTTGGAGATTAAGCGTTCGAGCATGAGAACGAATGTCCTGAGTATTTCAATCCCCCGTATGCAAGGAGTCGTGAATGCGTACTGATGATAAGTCTCAACCAATGACGACGTAACAACCACCCAAACAGGTTTTTAATGACTGATTCATGATTCCAGTGTTTGTCTTATTTAGTTTAGCTGACTCTTATTTTCTTTCAACCTCCTTATAGACCATCAAATATCACAGCACATGATAGTTTGTTGTACATAAGTACATGTCTGAACCACATAAATTGATCGACTGATTTGCTATCTTAACTTTTATCCATTTGATTGATTGATGATTTCAAAATGTAACTCAACAATCTCTGCAACCCCATAATGCAAATTACCTGGCTCACACTAGTTACTAGCTCCATGTAGAATCTTCTCTGAGTTCAAGTGAGAAGTTATGACCAGTAAAGTTCAACCTGTTCGGTTGTGAAGTAGTGCTTACAGAAGACAGTGTATGAGACCGTAAATTGATCGAATTTAGACACTAACACCGTTCGATTCCGGCTCACTAGTTCTGAGTTTAAACGTTTGCGCGGAAGATCGACGGTCCTGAGTTCAAATCCCACAGGTAGCAGGAGTCGTGGATACACACTGCTGATGAGTCCATATACCAAGATGAAACGGCAGTTCAGTGATTATGGGTTTCCAAATTGTGTTCTAACTGACTTAATCGAAGTAGTACTAGGATTCAAATCCTCTAAATATATCCGCATTTTATGACAAAAAAAATATCATTACTATTCTTACCCATGATGATTTGAATGTCCATTGCCAGGACCATTCAACTGATTGAAATTTCTTAAATGCCCATTGTTGTTTAAATAAACTGATTGATTTAAATGCGCATTCATTGAATGTTGAACAGATCTTGACAAATGTTGATGATGATGAGGAGGAGGTGGTAAGTTTACAGGGGATGAATACAAATGATTATTATTATTATTATTAACATTATGATTATTATTACTAAATTTATTACAATTATTCTCTGGATGAAAAGGAAATGGATAGGTGGATTGTTTCAAATGCATAATTGCATTCTTGTTGTATTCTTGTGATGAATAAGTATGGAATTTAGTCGATTGATTTGAAATTGTTGTAGTACCATGATATGTGGAATTCGTTGTTGATGTTGCTGTTGACATTATTGTTACGTTTGGATTGATCATCTCATTGATTCGTAAACCATTTGTCGGTGAACATATTGTAGACAATGTTGACGAGCAATGTTTTGTATCAATCGAAAATTTTGGAGGCAGATGTTCGTTTATTTTGGATAAATTCTTTTCAAATAATAATTTATAATCATTCGGTTGAAATTTTTCATAATTCCTCATAATTGTTTCAGTTGTATGATTTTTGTGAATCTCATTCATACTACTATTATTACTACTACTACTACTACATGTTGTACCAGTAGTATAAGTAGTATTCGTTGGGAATAAGGAAATTGTTGTTGGTACAACCATATTTAAATCATGATGTTTTTTATCAGCATATAAATGATCATTTGTCGTACTCATTGTATTAATGCCACTACTATTACTACTACTACTCATTAAGTCATTATCAGTAGTATGTTGTTGTTGTTGTTGTTGTGTATGATTGAATAATACTTTCGATGAAAATAACTTATTTAAATTTGGTGTGTAATTTGCACATTCTGTCAAATCATTTTCAGCTTTATGCATCAATTGTAAATCAGCACTTATATTACTATACTGCTGATTTGGTTTGACTTCATGATTTTCTCCAGTATGTACTGCTTCTGTTGAAGAAACGGATGTCAGTAATCGATTTTCTGTTACGTCTTGGTCAGAATAATTCGACGAACTGGTCATTTCTAAATCATGATTACTATTTTTCTGTGGTGGGGGTTGTTGTTGTTTAAAATACATGGATGATTCTTGAAGGTTGATCGATAATGATGATGGTGTCGCCTGATCAGATTGATATTGTGGATGGTAGAGATGATCACTGGATTTTTGATCGTTTAAAGGATGATGGAAACGATTCGAATATTGATGGTGTTGCTGTTGGTGGGTATGTGGATCTGATGAAGTCTTTGACGTCGCATAATTGAAACCATTCATTAAGATTTCTGAAGATAATGCTTGTAAATTATTGAGAATCGATTTTCCTTTCATTTTGAAATCTTCTCTATTTGAATTTTGTTGTTGTAGTAGTAAGTCAGATGGATTTAAATCATGTAGATAAGTTCGTCCAGAATATTCTAATTGGTGATAGTGTTTTCGATTCAAGGAAGTAAATGAGTTGGTTGATAATTCTTGTGGTTGAGATTGTTCACTGACTGTTTCATTGTGTTGTTAAGTCAACTTTGAAGTCACCACATTCCCAAGAATTCGGTTTGATAGGATAATCATGTGTCTGTTAATGAAAGAAAATATTAAACAGTTTATACTATTTTGTTCAATTTAAAGAAGGTCATGTAGTCAAAGACAATTGTTGATGAGATGATGAGTTCATGATTACCTTTTCTTGGTCAAAATTTGCCTGAACGAAAAATCATACAAATGAAGTTACAACTTATCTTGAAATTTATTAGCTTACCGGAAAAAACAAAGAACTGTATTTCAAGTGACATTTACTAATGTACAACTCCAGTTTAATAAAGTTTTATTGTGTCGAGTTGATGAAGTATCTATAGAGAACCAACTCGGTGTTTAATCTTCAAATTTATACGAGAGGAACTCTATTAAGATATGAATTGTACTAATAGTATTTCAGGATTTTAGGAATCTCACTGTATCATCCAAAATGAGGTTTGCATTAAGGATAACTGTCCACGTAGTTTAGATACGCGCTATTGCCCAGTTTAAAATCAAAAACAAATGATTTGGGTAAATAACGGTTCTACTAATATTCATCATAAATATAAATATACATCATTACACCTAAACAAATATTACCAATCAGTTATTCCACCAACAATTGTTCAATTATTCAACTAAATGACATTCTATCCCTCCTGGATAGATCATATTCGTTCGACAGATAATATTTGGTTGATTTATATAACACAGAGTGTTTCCTATTCTGGAAGAGTGCTTCAATTCACAATCAAAATGCACAATCCCAGTCATGATTAGCAACACAATCAAAAGAGGAACAAATCAATATGACTGTCACCATGACTAAGTATCAGTTTAAACAACATACATTACAGTTCAGAAAGAGACATAGAAACTCAGTGAAGGCAAAAGAAATAGAAACTATAATAAAATGGCAAATACTACCATTTCAAAATGCAATCGAACTGAAGGAATAATCATTATAAGGACAAATTACAAATGTGTGTACATGGAGGGAGAGATTTTCACAAAAAAGCCTTCAAAAAATTGACCTTACAGACAATGTGCTTTCATGGATTAGTAATTGTAAAGTAGTAGTTTAAAAGTCTATTCCTCTATAGTGTAGATATTCTTAAACGGTTTCAATTCCTGACAACTTTACGGAATCGAACCAAGGATCTTCTGATCAGTAAATTAGTGAATTGAATGAAACAGTATCTTAATTTTCAGCCATATCATCTGATGTTTCCAAACACTGATCACAGTGGTTGATCATATCAATATCTTTCAATACGATCAACGCCAACTAATTTAAACGTCCCATTTAGAAGTGATTGGTGATGAGGCATACATACTACGTATCCTAACTGTTATGATCGTCAAATGATATGCTTGAAACTATGACGCATTCACCTTAGAGTCGGTAAACGAGAGCGAAGAAAGATGATGCAACGACAAGATAGGCTACTACTCCAATCCGATCATCCCAATGCCCAACACTAAGTAGAAGAAGAATACTTGATATGGCATAGAAAGTGTATTTTACAAGCACCCAGAAAATATGAAGTTTCTTCAAGCACATGAATCAACAAGTTTCTTTCTACAACATGATAGAAATGTCCTTGGGAGAGCGCCACTAAAAGAACACATCAATGAATAACAGTCAAAGATTTTCCTGAATGGGAAATGTAGTCTCAAGGTCCACTGATCATCCCTTGTGCGAAAGCATAAAATCCAAAATTAGGCCACATTTTGCCTTAGTTTTTTTCAACTCTATATCTCTTATCCCAATAAATCTGTCTAATGAATCGCAGATTGGATAAATCTTAACTAATATTCATTTAGTTTTTTCTAACCTAATTAATAACCTTGAATCCATCATCATATTGAACAGATCAATAGGCAGATAGATAGTCAGATAAGTAAGTAAGTCAATAAGTAAATAGATAGATAGAAAGATTTATAACACTAGACAAGTGTACTAATTTTAATGCTTCTTCAATTTGTGGTGATTTTCTTCTCTTTACGTTTTTTCTTATTGTACAAAATTCAATTTGAAGTTTCTATTTCATCAAAACAAACATAAATCTAAGTAAAGAATGTGATTTTATAAAGTCAATGATGCATTTTAGAATAACAAAATAACAAACAAATTAACACTCTGTTGCATTGAATTCATTCAGCATGATGCACTGCTGGTTCGCTCTCTGTCGCGTTCACGCACTCACGCACACACACACACACACAGTTGAATGCGTACACTAGTGGTAAACTTGCACTAATATTACTTGAAATAATGATTGTTACACCTGTGAAATGGGTTTTTTGTATTTCGGTTGCCTGCATTTATTTTTCTCTCTGAATATTCATTATTAAGATCCATGATGGGTGGTGAGGAAGATGCTGGAAGTTTGCTGCACAGAATCTGCTTAATTAATCGCTCCCCCATCCCTTTACTACTGTTCCTATTTTCTGCCACCATGATAGATAGATAGATAGATATATCAATGAAATGAGTTACTTACATACAACCCGTTCATCATTGACTACTGTCCTTGTCTATGATTTATCTTATCCTATCTACGTGTGTATGTACGATAGAGTATATTTCTGTGTGAACACATACACGCACACACACACACAGAGTGGAGAAAAAACTCCTAATTTAAACTAAATTTTTCCGCTTAATATACCGTTGAAACAATTTGTTGTGTGATTGACAAAAAATATTAAACGATCTAGTTTAAAAGTGTTATGTTTAATTTAACTGTGTTTAAATGAGAAATTAAGTGGTGATTTTCGGTTCATTGAAGTAAGAATAATCATTCGACGAAACACACACACATATCAATGATAATTAGAGTTTATTTTTAAACAATGAAGATATTGATTTGGAGATGAGGGGGAGGGGTTGGAGAGTAAGCGCTGTAGGATCTTGAAGCTATTATTTGTATGATAGGGTTGTAAAGATTGTTAAGTTAGTTAGACATTTGAAATTATGAAATTGAACAGTGTTAGACCATCATCATTAGAAACTTTGGAAGCACTGAAAGAGGACAGTTTCGTCCTGATATGGGACTCATCAGTGATAGTGTTCATCTACGAGTTCTACACGTCGCAGTAATCGAACCTAGGACCTTCGGTGTTGTGTGCGAAAACCTAATCTCTGGACCACTGGGCAGGCATCCAGTGTAAGCTGATATTCATTGTATATGCAGTCATCAATTTATAACAAAAATGATCTTTTTCATCATAGAGTAATGGAGATTGTTGTATTTACACTGAAATCGTGCTGATGAGTTTCAAACGAGGACGAAACAGCCCATCTAGTGCCTTAAGATTTCTGACCTTAGTCTAACAATGACTGATTTATGATTTTAATGAATAAAAAACCATCTTGACATCTCTATTTTTTTAAAAATCTTAATTAACTGAAAAAGTTCATGTACCAATTATTAACAAGAGAGAGGAAATCGGGTTAGATCGAAAGAAAATCACTTAGTTCGATTTTGAATGAAAACAGTTTTTTTAAACGAATCAATCATTCATATATATCCGAAGATAATTCTTGTTAACGAGATTTATCTCAAGTTATCTGTTATGAAAATATTCTGTGTTTTTGGTGCAGTCAGACATTTTTAGATGAAAAATACAAAAGTCGTCAAAAGTCAATAAGTAATCGTCATTTTCAAATGAAGAACACACATGAATTTCCAGTGTTCATTCACTTATTAAACGTAAAATTAACCACGAATGTTGAATAGATCACCATAAAACTGTTCAATTAAACTCTTTCGTATCACAAGTACCTTTAAGGAAATGTATACATTCCTAGAGAGAAATACTCTTTAACTGATAATTATAACGTTAGGGTGGTCGATAATTTTATAAAAGTTTTGAAAATTTGTTAAAAACTTTTCAATTTGTAGCTTACTATCATTGAGAAATCTTAACTAGATAAGTGAAGGAAAACGTCAAGGGTCATGTTTATGTTTAATTGAACATTTAACAAGACAGTGTTTAAAACTTGTATATTTTCCCTTTGAACATAAACATTGAATTGTTTGCCGATAAGTTAACTGTTAACTTATTATGTAACTAGTAAATCTATCACGCACAAGGTCCTGGGTTCGAATCCTGCGAGTTGAAGGGAGTCGTGAATGCGCAGTGCTATTTGTGAGTTATATACCAGGACGAAATGGTCATGCACTGCATCCAGGTTTTTAATGATGGTCTAACAATGACTGATTTATGATTTCGGTTAAGTTACTGTTCAATATATTATTGAAGATCATTAATTTCCTGTAATGTTTTTTTACAGATCAGCTGGCAGATAATTCATTTGTATTGATTTTTTGAATCGTCCCATTAGTGTTTAAGATAGCGAATGATCAATCATTTTTGAGAAGTTTCAAAAAGTCAATACACATGAATAATTCTTCACCCTACTGTAAAAGCAACTGGTTATTTAGTCTCAATAGCTAAGCCGAGAACGGCATAGCGTTTGAATCACTTGGTATTAGGTTTCGAGTCTTGGAGAGAACATGAACTCTGAAATGCAAATATATCCGGCCAAATACAAATTCCAAATAGATTGAAATGCAAGTCCTGAATACCACTGCTAACCACTGTTCACTTCTGTGAATATCATTTGACTAATATTTTCGTAAAAATGGAATGTGGCTGGCAGTGAAATTTGAGACAACATTGTCATAGTGTCCATGTTCACAAAGGGATTCAAATATAGTATATATTTCTCCTAAAACTTTAATTTGAGATTTTGGAGAAAATTTGTGTAGCTCAGGTAGATGATTGTAGTGGAGTTTCTCTTTTCGGAACTGGGGATGTTTTGGTTGTACAGCTTTCATCATTGTTCTTCTTCTGAACAACATCATCAACAGCACAAGATTCAAGCAGATGAAATTCTTGACTTATGACCCCGTAGCCTGTTCTGTTAACCTCAATCTTAATGTCAGCAGACAAAACTGCAAGTTATATGTAGAGAATTTCAAATACTGCACTTCATCCACCTGATGTTTGTGGTGCTGATGATATTGTTCAGGAGAAGAACAATGA